TTTCTATACTCGACAAAATGTCCGTTATTTTATCAACACAAAACAATATATCCATATACTCGAAACTCGATAAAGTGTTCATTATTTTATCAACGACAAAAAGAGTCTTTTTATACTAGATAAAATGTCCGTTATTTTATCTACACAAAAGAATATATTTATATAGTCGACATAAAAAATGTTTGTTATTTTAGTACAGACAAAAAAATTCTTTTTATATACTCGAAAAAATGTTTGTTATTTTATCAAGGACAACATAATTTGTTTTTACACTTGATAAAGTACTCATTTTTCGGAATTTATTAATGATAAAAGAATTCAATTACATTTTTTATTTCATTAGTGACAAACTAATTTGTTCATTTACTCAACAAACGTTGGTTATTTTATCAACGATGAAGAGATGTTTCACGATAAAATTACCGTAAACATTAATGAACATATGTAGTTTCATCGGTGATTTCATATATTAATGTATAATTTCGTACCATATGGAGTTTCATCAGTGATTTCATATATTAATGTATAATTTCGTACCATATGGAGTTTCATTTGGAATATTATTGAACACTTTTCCACTACTGCTGCCTGCTTCTGATTGTAAATAAAGAAATGAAAATAAAAGAAATGCAGTCGCATAATCTAGCAGAACATATGTGTGTAGGGCCATAGGTTCAGGTTATTCTAAAGTGGCAGCTTTCCGGTATCTTTCATGGACCCTAATTTTCAATTGGCAAAAAGAAGAAATGTCGGTTGGAATTGTTGGAGTTTGGGTTTGTTTTTTCCTTTTCCTTGCTGGTTTTGAGGTGCAGATGTTAACTCAGAAGAAAACGTGGCGATCTGCAACTATAAAACCTTCAACTTTTTCGACACTTTGCTGATACCTCTTTTTTTTTTTTGAAAATTGGCACACCAAATTGCATCAATTGTCAACATTATGGGTGGCAATTTGGTGGCATTAATGGATGGCAAAATTGGTCAAATTTGGCCACCAAATTGTTGAAAATTTTGGATGGTAAAACTAAGCAATTGGTCATTGTAATTTAGGGTATTTACAAATTAGTCCTTAAAGCTTCAACTATAAATACCCTAGCTCATTTAGCTTCAAAACCATCCCAAAACATTCTAGCTTTCTTCCAATACTAGAGAATTTAGAGAGTTTCTTTAGAGTTGTTTTCTCCTTTTTTATCGAGAGAGAATTATCATTGTTTTTCCTTGGTAGATCGAGAGAGGTTGTAATTCCTATTTTCTCATAGTGAAATTCTTCTACCGCTGCCGGTGGTTTTTACCCTAAATTTTTAGGGGTTTTCCACGTAAATTTTGTGTCTCTTTTATCTTCATTTTTATTTTCTCAAATTATCAGTTGCGATTTTGCTCTATCCGATAGCCGTCTTCCGCAACAATTGGTATCCGAGCTAGATTAGAGTGTGTAATATCTGCTTATTGTCTTTGTGGTTGCCACCAAAAGGTGGATCCTCCAACATAAGAAAATAAGAAGTTATTACCCATTCTTTGAAGGTTCCAGAGAACTATTCACGATAGTGAAATAGTGGGAGCTATCCGTAAAAGAAGCTATGGCAACGAAATTTGATATTGAAAAATTCAATGGGAGAAATTTCTCATTGTGGAAATTGAAGATGAAGGCCATCCTAAGGAAAGACGGGTGTCTAGCGGCTATCAATGAAAGACCGGTGGATTTCGCAGATGACATCAAATGGAACGAGATGGACGGGAATGCTATGGCAAACTTTCATCTAGTATTAGCAGATGAAGTATTGTCAAGCATCGAGGAGAAGAATACGAAAAGAAGAACTTGGTTTGCAGGTTGAACAAATCTCTGTACGGTCTAAAGCAGGCGTCGAGGTGTTGGTATAAGAGATTTGATTCCTTCATTATGTGCCTTGGATACAACAGACTTAATGCAGACCCTTGTGCTTATTTCAAGAGGTCTGGTGATAACGATTTTGTTATATTGTTGTTGTATGTGGATGACATGTTGGTTGTAGGACCCAACAAAGATCATATTGAAGAATTGAAGACACAACTGGCTAGAGAATTTGAAATGAAGGACTTGAGATCAGCAAACAAGATTCTAGGGATGCAAATTCACCGAGACAGAAGTAATAGGAAGATTTGGCTTTCACAAAAGAATTACTTGAAGAAAATCTTGTCACGATTTAGCATGCAAGATTGTAAGACAATTTCTACCCCTCTTCCTATTAACTTCAAATTATCCTCCAGTATGAGTCCTAGCAGTGAAGAAGAGAGGATGGAGATGTCTCGAGTACCGTATGCATCAGTAGTGGGAAGTTTAATGTTCGCTATGATATGCACAAGACCAGACATTGCACAAGCAGTGGGAGTGGTTAGTCGGTACATGGCGAATCCAGGCAAAGAACATTGGAATATTGTAAAGAGGATCCTCAGATACATCAAAGGGACCTCAAATGTTGAATTATGTTACGGAGGATTAAACTTACTAATCAATGGGTATGTAGATTCTGACTATGCAGGGAATTTGGATAAAAGCAAATCTACTACAGGATATGTGTTCAAAGTTGCAGGTGGAGCTGTAAGCTGGGTTTCAAAATTGCAGTCAGTTGTGGCTACGTCCACAACAGAGGTAGAATATGTAGCAGCTACACAAGCCAGTAAAGAAGCAATTTGGTTGAAGATGCTATTGGAGGAGCTTGGGCACAATCAAGAGTATGTCTCTCAGTTTTGTGACAGTCAAAGCGCCTTGCATCTAGCAAGGAATCCAGTATTTCATTCAAGGACTAAGCACATACGAGTTCAGTACCATTTCATTCGTGAAAAGGTGGAAGAAGGAACGGTAGATATGCAGAAGATCCATACCAAAGACAACATAGCTGATTTCATGACGAAGGCAATCAATGCTGATAAATTTACCTGGTGTCGATCCTCCTGTGGCCTGTCAGAAACGTAAGCAACATGAAAGGTACAAGGTAGAAAGAATGGTGTGAAGATATGATTGTTCCAATCAAATCTTCAAGTGGGAGATTGTTGAAAATTGGCACACCAAATTGCATCAATTGTCAACATTATGGGTGGCAATTTGGTGGCATTAATGGGGTAGCAAAATTGGTCAAATTTGGCCACCAAACTGTTGAAAATTTTGGATGGTAAAACTATGCAATTAGTCATTGTAATTTATTGTATTTACAAATTAGTCCTTAAAGCTTCAGCTATAAATACCCTAGCTCATTTAGCTTCAAAACCATCCCAAAACATTCTAGCTTTCTTCCAATACTAGAGAATTTAGAGAGTTTCTTTAGATTTGTTTTCTCCTTTTTTATCGAGAGAGAATTATCATTGTTTTCTCCTTTTTTATCGAGAGAGAATTATCATTGTTTTCTCCTTGGTAGATCGAGAGAGGTTGTAATTCCTATTTTCTCATAGTTAAATTCTTCTACCGTTGCCCGTGGTTTTTACCCTAAATTTTTAGGGGTTTTCCACGTAAATTTTGTGTCTCTTTTATCTTCATTTTTATTTTCTCAAATTATCAGTTGCGATTTTGCTCTATCCGATAGCCGTCTTCCGCAACATTTTTTTGGTTTGTCTCCACTACCAAATGTGTAACCGATGCTTTTTTCGTCTTCCTTGTAAAGCTACTTTTTCGTTGAATTTCTCATATCATCCTTGCATCCACGATTTAAATGGTTAGAAATTTGTATTGAAAAAGGTAATTAAAATCGAGATTAATATGAAATATATCACAAATTATTTATAAGGTTTAACGTGATTTAGTTTTGTTTACTTGTATAGATAAGAGAAAAAAATAATTACAAACTACCACTAGAACAAAACGCGTTTTTAGTGGTTTTTTGTCATATAACGGTGTTTTTATACGCTGCTAAAAAGAAACGCCGCTAAAAGAATTGCCGCAAAAGTTTGCGACTTTTGTGAACGTCAAACACCGCTCAAGGTTATGCTTTTTAGCGGCATTTTTTACAAATGTTGTTAAATTTTCTGACATATAGTGACATTTGTGAATGTAATACGCCGCTATTGACTACTTGTATAGCGGCGTTTTCTATACAAGGACCGCAAAAAATCTTGAACTTTAGTGGTGTTTTGTTTAACAAATGCCGGTATTGATTATGTATTTAGTGGTGTTTTATTACATAAACGCCGCTAATTTAAACTGATTTTTCAAATGTTGTTTTCTACTCTTTTATTACCCAAATTTAAAATTTTAATCTGTAGCATTATCCAATAAACTTGAAATCTATAATAATAAATCAAAGTTTACATTAAAGTGAAATATAATTTAGTTCAACATTGTTAATTAGATAAAACAAAGTATATATATATATATATATATATATATATATATATTACACCTAAGTTGGTAGACTTTAGGATTGATTTTGTCGTATCATCTGCATCATAGCTTGAAGTTGATTTTGAAAGTCTTCATATTTTTTCTGATATGACGCTTCTCTCTTTTTCTTCCCTCGCTTCAGTTTCGACTTTCATTTGAGCAAATTTTTCATCCATTTGAGTCAACTGTTGTTTTAAACGACTAACTTCTAATTGGAAAAATTGACTATGTGATGACATGTACTGAGATAAATTGGATCCAAAATATTTGGTTGGGGTAACGAATGATCCTTGAAAACGAATCTGACCATATCTTTCAGGACCCAAAACTTCATTAATAACTTGATTTTTTATCTCATCCGCACTAACAAGAAATTATTGCAACAAAAATATAGAGGAACAAGGCAGTAATCCGCTTGATATCCTGCAAATATATAATTGTTCATCTTTGGAGAGAAACCAGAAAATATATAATCATTTGTTAGGATTCGATGATACAAAGACTGAAAATTGTTTGGTCGATAGAATTCTACCTTATCTTTCAACACTAGCATATATGTAAGATGATAGTGTTGAGATGGATGTTGTCAATTATTCACTAAAATCATATTCCTCTTGTACTTTGGAGATCAAGAAACAAAAATGCTGGTTACAAAAGCAGTTAATGATAAAAGAGACAGGAAAACTTTGATGCATGCAATCCAAGTATGATACGAGTATCAAGAGTTACCTTGGAAGACGGTGACGGGGGCATTTGACATAGCCAGAAAGCTAGAAAAAATATTGATGTAAGTGCAAATTAGATGTCTTTCATGTCATTTAGTCAAGTTCTAAAGAGGACAGAGAGAAAACAGTAGGTCAAACCTGAGGAAGTGACAAGAGGAAGTTTAACACTTGTGGAAGAAAGAAAATCAAGAGTGTTTCACTGGGCCAAGAAATTTAAAGTGGAAAAAGACAACGAAATTTAATCAATATCTACATTAAAGCTTGCTGATGTAAAGCAAAAATATTTAGTTTGACCATAAAAGAAAGTAACATTAAGCCGTGTAAGTCCAGCAAAATAGCAAATGGCAGAACGAAGCCTAGAACTCGGTTGTACCTGTTTTTAGTTAATTCATATGTGTTCAATTACTCGGTTAATAGGTACCAAGAATCAAAATGACAAAGGATAATGGTAAATCATCAATATTCTAGAGACCAACAAGCAATTAAAGACAAAAAATGATATTTCTTAAACCATGGCCCTCAAATTGGCTTGCAAGGTTACTGCATATCACAAAACTAAGACATATTCATTCCCAAATGTAGAGTTGGACCTCAGATGACACTGAGTTCACTGCCATGACATTTGGGGGAAGGGTCAAGTATACATGATACATACATTCAAGTGTACATGTGGGAATATAGGCACTGCAATATGTAACCAAAGACCAAGCAAATGAAACTCATTGCAAGGAACACGAGCACCTGTAATGTCCCAGAATTCCAACCACAGCCATGGTCATTCCAGCAAAGTTTGTGTATGTGTTCCCAACAAAAAACTGAAGAGGAATGCCTAAAAAAAGAAGTAAAAAACCATTAGCAAGATTTTATTAGCAAAGAAGTAGGAACTGCAAACAGCTGGCTGTAAAATGATAGGATTATTACCAGTTGTAAGAAAGTAAAGCCAAGGAAGTGGCTAGTAAGGGTTGCACAAGATAAATATAGAAAGCATGAGCTTGTTTATACTCACGATCTGAAGATGCTTCAATTTGAATTAAGTTATGTATCACAATCTGTGAATTGCAAAATGAAATTAGACTGCTAAAATGCCATATTTATGTAATATCATTATCATTTATGCTCACATCTGATGCAATCACAACTGTTTGCCCTAATTCAAGGCCATTCAAACCAGCATGAATGTTAATGGAATTTGTGCAAAATATTACCAAAAGCCATATATACAATTTGTACTCCCATCCTGCCACAACAAAATATATTGTGAGTTCCTTGCAAGGATAAATAGCTGACCGACTTGGTGGTCTATATACAAAAACAAATTCAAATCCGTTTCATTGTTTTTTTAATGATTATAAATAAAAAGGGAAATCAGAATTGAAGATTAAAAAAACTTTTAGCAGTTCCAAAAGGATAAATCATGAAAAGGTAACTTAAGATGGGAAAGAAAGCAAAGTTGATATCCCAATTTTCAAATGGTAAAAAGAAACAAACTAGCTAACCTTCCAACGCTCCCACTGATTCCAACTAACAAACTAGGGGAGCAACTCGGTCCTGAACCGATTGAATTCACCCTCGCCCTTCCTGAAACCTTGGTTAACTCGTCCCACCAACTTGCCAATCCTCACATTCGCCTCATTCAAATCAAACCCACTTTCCTGCTTAACCGACTCCCCAAATTTGGACCAGAACTTCTCAGGGTCGAAGCGGAGCTAGGAGAAGCCATTGGACGAGGATTACCAGTGTCGGAACCGATGGGGTCACCTCCTTGGACGAGGAAGACTTTGATAATCCGATGAAAGATTGTGTTGTCGTAGCTTTCATGTCAGTTTTGATGGTGGCTATGTTGTGATGAGTGCGTGAGTAGGAAAGTTAAGAAAACAGGTAGAAAAGTTGGGGATTTGGAACCAGTCAAGTTAAATTACTAAACAATTATGGCATTTTTGAGAACAAATGCCACTAATGCAAGCTATAATTACGGCGTTTATTACATAAATGCCACTATAGTACGACATATTTTGTGGTGGCTTTTGTCTAAAAATACCATGATATATGTAACACATATTGCAGCTTTTGTTTAAAAATGCAATTAAAGAACGATTTTGTTGTGGCGTTTGTTTAGAAACGCCACTAAAGTTAGATTCTGTGGCGGCCTTTGTTTAAACATGCCACTAAAGAACGATTCTGTTGCGGCATTTGTTTGGAAACACCACTAAAGTTAGATTATGTGGCTGTGTTTGTTCAAAATCTACACTAAAGTTCTTATCTGTGGCGACGTTTGTGAAATAATCGCTACTAAAGTATGAGTTTTAGCGGCGTTTGTCAAGAAATGACGTTAATGTTATCATTTTGTGGCGTTTTGAATATAAACGTCGTGATATGTATAAATTTAATGGCACAAAATGTAGCCTCGAAGTCTTTTATTCACTATCTGAAGCCAATTAAAAATGGCCCACTAAGTATTGATTGAGTTCAAAACATATTATTACCACCCACTTTAAACAAAGCTCATCTTCGTAACACCGCTTTTGCAAGATGATCCGTCATAGCAATATGTTCCCTGAAACATAAACAAACCTGTCTAACGATTTCAACAAAGAGGCACCGCCACCTCCAGGGACGAAGGTGCTTAACGAAATCCAACTCAAGGCAACTAAAGTATCTGATTCTATAATCAACTCTGCTTTTTTGGATCAATTCGCCTCTATTCTATCCGTAAAACTACCCACAACCAGCAACATCCAATATAGAGACCCCGTCTAGATTAAACTTTAGTTGTCCAGCCTTCGGTTGTGACCATCTTTTATTAACCGCTAAACAAACCATCGGATACACCCAACAATTATTTTCGTTTAAACAACGTACCTTCATTTTTTTTCCTTGCATCAAATGAGGGCTCGCATCTTGGATAGGAAAACAAGATCCTTGAAGTCTGTATTTTTGTCCCAGAAAATTTTCTCATCCTAGCTAGCCATACACTCCACAATATCGAGCAACACAAATAAGCCAAATTAATTTACTCAGGCCTGCCAAACGAACTTGGAAGCTTAAAACAAGGAATTCGTCCACTGTGGTTGGACTTTGACCAAACCATATTCCACCACTTGCATTGTAACACTCATATCTATTTGTACTCGAATACGAGTTAGAGATGTCATAACAACAACGTAAAACATTTCTTAGTCGAAAACTTGTCAAATTTGTTTAGTTTAAAATTTGTCAATTAAGCCCTTTTCAGTAATGTTTTCTTAATCGCGTAAAAAAGTACAATACTTTAACATCCATTTCAAATCCAATTTCGGGCAGCAACTAGGCAATTTAATAATGTTTCATATAAATAATTAAACTGCCTAAAATTTGCCTAAATAAAAATTTAACTTCATCAAATATCAAAATTAAAACCATTTTCAGAACTATATATATATTACTCACTAGGATTCATATATATAAATTTCTATGACTCGTTTAAATCTTATAAACTTATCAGAGCCTTTTCTGATTCAATTTAAAAACATGACCGCATTAATAATTTTCAGACACTTCTTATTTGTTTACATGCCAGCTAGAAATTTAAATTTCAGTAGGATGTCATTACTGATTCTTGTGAATATTCCTTGATGATTGATACCAAGCCCAGCTCCCTACTCCTTCCGCTTTCTTTTACCTACGTGTGAAATACTCACACTCTAAGTATTCACTTATTGAGGCATATACAAACTAAAGTAAGGTATTTCAATCTAAAAAATATACAAACTAAAGTAAGGTATTCGTCTAATCACACAATCACATTATATATATATATTCAACAAACATTTTCAAAATTCTATGCATCATTTGCAACACATCAAATTCACATATCACATCCACATTCCATATCACATTTCATATCAACTGCACATTTCCAATTCATATTCCACGAATCACAATCTTCCAATACACCAACTCATAGTCACCATGTCATATCATGTATATGCTAACATTGATCACATGTTTCCATTACATCATAACTCATATTTAACATGCTTTAACACTCATGCTTGCAAATAACACTTGCAACAGTGTTATTTCAGAAAAAGAAAGACGAGTCTATGCAATTATGAATGAATTATCGTCAGCCAGAATAAGGTAAAAATAAAGAATAAGTATCTTATTTAGATGATTGATGATCTTTTGATCCATTAAAAGCTACATTGATGTATTCCAATATTGATCTTCGATTTGGATATTATCAGTTAAAGGCACGGAAGGCGATCTTCCTAAGACAATTTTTAGAATTCAATATGAACACTACGAGTTTGTGGTAATGTCGTTTGGTTTAACGAATGTTCATGTGACATTTATGGTTTTGATAAACTGAGTATTCCAGTTATATTTGGATTAATTTGTGGTAGTCTTCATTGATGGTATTTTGATCTATTGTAAGATCAAGGAAGAAAATAATGCATATCTTTGTATAGCTCTTCCAACTCTTTGGGAGAAAAGTTGCATGCTAAGCTGATAAAGTGTAAATGTTGGTTTTCTTAGGTTGTATTCCTTAGCCACAGTTGTATTCCTTAGCCATGTGGTCTCAGCTGAGGGCATAAGAATATATCTCAAGGAAGCACGAGCCATAGTTGAATGATAAAATCCAAAGAATGTTTTCAGATTTCAAAGTTTATTGGGACTTGCTAGTTACAATCAAAAGTTCGTGAAGAACTTTTCGATGATTATTTTCCTCTGCCCAAGCTATTGAGAAAAGACACTATTCGTTTAGGCTGATAAATGTCAATAAAACTTTGAGATGTTAAAAAGAATACTGACATAAGCTATAGGGTCAATGTAATCAGAATATGGAAAAGATTTTGTGATTTATAGTAATACGTCTCATAATGGTTTGAGATGTGTGCTAGTTCAAGAAGAAAAGTTAGGGCTTATGCTTCAAAGTAACTAAAGAATCATGAAAGAAATTATCCAACTCATGATCTTGATGTTGGTAATAGTTTTGTTTTCCTCACGCTATATCTATTCAAACCTGAAAAGTTAAAAAGTATGTGTTAACTCGAAGGAGTAAAAATAAAGGAAATGGATTTAAGGCATAAATCATTCTTTAACCATCTTAGGCATACTTAGTAATAGTACATAACATGTATTCCAACATCAAAACTCATGATTTCATTATTTATTCAAGAATCAAAGCATAATATAAGTCATTATAGGTCGCTTATACACCAGCAAGGGTCACTAGAACAAATCAACTTAAAGCTCGATTAAGGATCCCATATTGCTTCAAAATAAAACCAAGATTCAAAATAATTTTACAAAAGTTCCCCTTGCTTTAATCACCACCAAGTACCTTGCCCCTCAAGCTCTCGAGTCGTTAAGTAAAGATCTGAAAAATACAAAACAACGAGTGTGAGCTATAAAGCTAGTTAATGAATAAACATACAAATATGATGTACATGCCAGGGGTAAAGGAAAACATACCTAAATGCCACAGAACCTTAATTGTTTCTACCTCAATGATCATACCATAATGTCATGATTCAATGTTCACTTCATGCATCCTAAATACACACAAAATCCATATTATGAACATGCTTGTACAACTGTATATACCTTGCAGGAAATCACATGCTCACTTGTACAATTACCTTTTCGCCAAAGTCACATACAACACATAAATTATTTCCATTTAAGATCAATGGCTTTTTATGTAAAACACAACTTACTCATTGGATACATAGACTCCATATAGTTCTCCTTTATTTGTGGACTCACTCTGGTCTAAAACCATATATTTCAGAGCAAAGCTCAATGAACTAACCTTACCTCGTAATCTTCTTGGAGCTCAATGCATCAACCTTTCCTCGTGTAACCCAATATCACATACACTTATACAAAACAAATAGAGTATTTTTGCCTAGGCATGCCTTTCATATCCAAAGGTCCCATTAAGAACAAATAGCCATTTAATATAAGTACACCAGATTAGTCATTAATGATGCAGAGATTTTCACATATATTCATTCACTCATTTTGAAACACAATCACAATTGGTTGTCATGATCAACCCACATTATAGACAGTAAGAATGTTTGATTCGTTCAATCACACATTCACATTATATATATATTTTCAGCAAACATTTTCAAAATTATATGTATTATTTGCAACACATCACATCCACATTCCATATCACATTTCATATCAATTGCACATTTCTAATTCATATTCCACGAATCACAATCTTTAAATACACCAACTCA